TCTAAATACCGCGATTGCAGTATGGTGTGAAATTCATGTGCACAGAATTGAATAATGTGTACTAATTGCGGTAATTAAGATACCGATAGCTCATGTGCAAAAAAAAAAATCGTAGTTTGAAGATAAAGATATAAATGAAACGTTTCGCGCTTTATGCACAGTGCACTTGAATTTTTCGATAAAGCCATTAATTTCTACGTGACAAATATGTGTTACCTGTAACAGTACCGCCGGTGGCATTACCGCTAAACCGACTAGCAAATCCGCCGCCGCTAGGCTAGACACAAAACAATTAGTCACGGACCGTAATCGCCTGGTGGTAATTACAGCCGCAATCACTAATGTATTGCCGACCTGTTATAATACAAAAAAAAAAGGAGCTTGTGATTGAGAATGCATACTTTAGATAACCGCGTTATCAGTCACATTAAAATAAAAGATGTGAAAGGCTCGAGTGATTAACAAAATCGAATGAAAATCAAAAGCAGCGTGAAGAGCCACAATGCAAGTTCTTCGCGCGAAGGTTACTGTATTCTCATTTGAAAGTATTTACAAACGTTTCTGCCTGACATCAGGCCTTCCTCAGTGTACAATATTAACAAAAGAATCGCACGCAGTGGTTATAAAAATAAAAAGATGTGGATGGTATTTTTCAAATCCATTCCGCAGATATATTGTCCGGATCATTAAAATGAATTGTTAATACTGTAATAAATATAATAGAATAAAATGAGAATTGAAACTGTAAAGAAGTCAAATAACATTAAGATATAAATTTATACATACTTGTGACAAAAACATGTTACAAGCAAATTACATTACATTAAGTACTTTAAGAAACGTTTTTTATAAATTTATGAATTACTATATAGAGAAAGAAAAAAACTACTCGTATCAATGAAGCATTGTTGCATAATACGTTTAGTCATAAAAATAAATGCAAAAATGTTGATGAAAGTCTTAAGTATATTAAAAGCAATGATAATACTTACTATAGTAACAATAATCAGGATTGTGAATAATCCTGCTAGAACGAGATCAGTCCAATTAGGTAAATAATATTCCGTTTCCGCATCTCCTTCCTTCGCCGTGTGGTTCCATTGATATAACGTAACATCGCCATAATAATCAGTCGTTTGATTCTCCATAACGCTTATCCTCGGTTCATAGATAATTGTCCGGTATATACGTTTTGCAGTACCATGATAATTTCTGAGAAAATATAAATTATTCTTATATTTAATGACTCCTAAAGAGATACAGATACATCATTTACTTAATCGTTAAAACGTTGAAACAACACTTTGAACATTCGTTTGTCAATTTGGTTTTTTTATATATGCATATGTGTTCGATTGATGTCGCAGAAACAAAGCCTTGTTTTCAATTTGCCGTTTGTCATGGAAAGCGGAGAACATGTGACGCTTCGGCGGAGCATATATTGAACCGAACTGTGAATTCTGCGAATGCTGCGAAACGCGTGTGAATCGAATCGATTAAAAATCGCGATGCGTGTATGTGGAAATATGAATATAGATGAAAGTCGGCGGAACTTTTAAAACTTCCTACGGTCAACCCGCCTCCATATCGATGCACAGGCGAAATAGTTCAGCGCCGACGTTTCTGCGAAATATGGAAATGGATCACATCGAAAAGAGGCAAACGCACGGGGATTTGCTAAAATTGGATGAGAAAAGTCAAACAGACTATGGAAATAAGGCAGAACAGCGGAGAGATTGAGCACTCATACAAAGAAATCGTATTTCAAAGTATGCGAGAAGAAACGTCGAACATGTAACATATCCCCGTCTAAATTCATATTGTCACTGTCAAAGTATTTTATTGAAAGTAACGTAATGTAAAGCTTTACACGTTTAATACATTAATAAATATACGTATATATAATTGATTAATCCTTCGATAAATGCAGTATATTTTTATCAGTGAAAAAAAGCATTAAAAAAATGTGCAGTATGATAAATTGATTTTCTTCGTAGCTTATTCAATGAATTACAAATAAATCATCACTATTATTAAAGATATTAATATATATATATTTTTTTTTGTCAATAATTATTTTAAAATCTAATAAACAAGATTGTGAGATCAGACATGTAACAAAGCATCTAGCCGACACAAATAACGTTGCATAAATTAAGTTAAAGAATTAAAGGCAATTTTTATTTACATGAAGAAGCAAGCAAATAATAATCTCCTTCTACTACATGATGAGATTATTAATTAAATCTGGAACGTAATGAAATTGCAATTACAGTGGTCTTTCCAGTGAGCGCTGATTTATTTAAATGCCATCAACATGATTACTGAGAATGCAGAAAACAATAAAGATATCAAATGACTAAAAATGGCTAATAATAGAATAATAACAAATAAATGAGACTAAGAAAATATATTAGTGGCAATAATTTAATCGTTTAATTACATTTTTCTTATTTGCTTGCTGACTTCTTAATCAACCGCAGTCACTATTACTGGCCTGAGCAGCAACTAGATTTTCCTTCGGCTTGCCGAATTAAGTGAATTATGGCGCTGTTTCCACTTCCACGGCGCGACTGGGTAATGGCAATCTGAACTAAGAAGCAGTTTAAAGGGAACGGAATTCCGAGCACGTACTTGATTCAAATAACTATCAGCAATGAATGCAATGTCAGACTGTAAAATGTCGTCTAAACGAGCATCGCATATAATTTTCCGCTCTTGTTACAATTATAAATCTCAACTGTTCTTCAGTAAGCTTCCTTCCGCTTTATTGCCCTTTTAAGGCTTTCAAGTCGTGAAATAGTTTTCAAGTATTCTGATAAAAAAATAACACGTAGTACAAAATGTGGACTCAAAAGTATAAAACGATTTTAAGATCGCGCATAAAAGCTTCTTCTAGAAACATGCTATACACAAATGAAAAATTTGATTATTCAAAATCTATTTATTTGTTAGAAAAAGAAATATGTAGTTCATGTCTTGTGTATATTTGCGGTTTTTGTAATTGTCTTGTTTAAAATTAAATCCAACCGCTAAATTATTATTATACTTATGCTGAACAGGAAAAAATATTCGACTTTATGAAAATTTCATATGAAAATGCTGTCACTTGCAATGATAAATTTAAATCGTCTGTCGAGTATATAAAGTGGATTTTTAATTAATCCGCATTTGAATAATATGCATATTTTCATAATATCCAGTAACCATGAATACCGTTGCACTCATCCACAGATTTTCTACGCATTATTCCGCCCTTGCAACAAGAAAAATTTAAAGCTACGGAATCATTTTCAACAGATTTACAAAAATCAAAGTTTGAATTATGCAAAGCAACCCACGGGAGCGAGAAATTATATCTATCCAAGAATTGGACTATGCCTGAGAGGGAGAAGAGGGCTATGCCTGTGTCGGGAGTGCTGTTTAAATGCTAGTGGGTCAATCGATGAACTTTTGATAAAGATACTCCCACCTGGAGCGGCGGGAGATACTCGATCAACCATAAATAGTCGCCAGTAACTCGCAAGAGAATGGTTTATAATGTATAAAACCAGATTGATAATACTATGAGGTATGAAAGTCGGGTAAGACGAATGGACCAACGGGATTGCGCGCAATCGTTATCGACCCATCAAGTTGAAATAGAACGGATTGTGGCGAGAGATTCCACCCCAGAGTAGTAAATACATTGCGGAAATCTTGTGATCAGATAAAACACATTAATTTTATAAATAAAAATAAAAGAAATATAAATAAAAAGAACTTAACTATTTTATATATATATATATAATATTATAGAATTTTTATGTAAGTTATTTTAAATAGACTGTCTTTTTTTATTTTATTTCGCAAGTAACAAAAATTTAAATGCGGCAGTAATATATTTAATTCAATTTTATAATGTATTAATAAAAATAATTGATAATTTATATAAAAGTCAACGAGTGTAAAATAAATTACGCGCTTAGCTATTTTTAGTTTGATACGCTACAATTTTCTATTTTTAATTATATTAAAGTAGTGTTTTAAAAATGATAAAATAATATAAAAGTTCTCCATTAGTAATAATTCTTCATTAGATTCCCAACCAAATATTTTTGTACCTCTTGTAGGATGCTAACTTTAATATTGAATATGTTCCGGCCAGTGAGCGCGTTATCTGTACGATAAAAGGGAATTGATTCTTGGATATCACGAATACGTTTTATCTCACCACTTTTTTTCAGTACAGGAACATATATGAATGGCCAGTACCGTACTATTTTTTAATCCTATTCTGTACGCGTATTTAAAAAAAAAGCTCGATATTCATTGCCGTTAGAATTACACCGTATTAGTCAGGAATCGGATTTTTTTTCCAATAATATCGATTGATCGCAATTGTCTGATAGCGAGCAAACTGTCCTTTGCTCCTTATTCTCAAAGCTTCGTTCTAGATTTGCTTAGAAATGTACAGTGAAGAGATAGAATATATATAGCGTAATAACATAAACGAATATGTCCAAAAGTATCACGATTGCAGATGCAGTCGTAAATGTAACGGCAACATTCTATCTATGTGTCCTATAAATAAATAACTGTAAATGTAAAAGTGCAGCGAATCAATGCGCTATTTCTCGCATCGTCTGACGTCTGAGGAAATAAATTTAACTACTCTGGTGAAAAGTTCACGCCGCAACTCTTCGTTCGCACAGCACGCAAAAGGTAAAATAGAGACGCAAAAATTCCTTCCAAGTTTTCGCTACAACGATTTTAGTGTAAATAAAGTTCTCTGAGAATTTTGCTTATTATTCTAATAAAAAAAAGGAAAGTACCAAAAAAATACTGCTTATAATCTCTGTACTGTAAGCGTGTCCACTGTAAATGTACTTTTTTTCGTTTGAGAATATAATGACGCTCGCTAATGGTATACCGTTCTTGAAAAATTGTTATTTTTATTTAACTGAACATTTAACTCGCAGACTAGACTTTGTCTTTTAGTCCTTAATGTACACGAGAGTCTGTTTTTACGATAAATATAAAGAATCTGATCGTTACTTGATTCAAATAACAGTTTTCTAAATTTTTTTATGTTTTATCATCTATTATATTAAATATGCTTGCATAAACATTTTTAAATATATATAAATATTTGATAATATAAATTCTGTTTACTTGTCATATTGTTTTAAACATATGAATACAAAATATAAGAAAAAAATATTGTAAAGATTCTTATATCATTGATCGAATTAATAATTGCCCAAAAAAATAAAATTTTATATATATATGTGTGTATATATATATATATATATATACCTCTTTGAAGCTATATACATAAATTCCTGAACAACTTATTATCCGTTAAATAAAGTAGCAAGCGCTCTCGTTTATAGTTTGAAACTAAAATTAGAAACTGCGACTTCTATTTTCTATAACGGAGAAAAAGTAGCGCGCACAAATTGTTTCATTTTCATTACTGCCAATAAATGTGAATATCTTTCTCATACATCTTCACAATATTGATATAAACACTCACTAAAATTATACCTATTTCCCAAGCTTTAGAATGCATGAAGATAATAAATAAAGCAATGTAAAATTTTACTGTGCCTGCATAAAAAATATTTGTACTATCAGTTTCTCGTTTAACAAACGCATTTATAATAGGCATATTATAATTGCAAAAAGTAAAGATTTGTCATGAAATAAAAGCAGTAAAATCGCGCCCGCATTATTACATCATTTGTCATAAAGCTCGAATCAATTACGCAAAATTGAACCGCTAATAAAATCTTTTGTTATAATTTCACCGCGTTGTATTGATCCTTCAACGAAAACCGACGAGAACATGTAATGTTATGTAAAACCGAACGAATGTATATGTGTATACATATGTACACATGCGGCTGTGCATTGTTAATCTGCGCATTAATCTTGTCCTTCTCGTGAATAATTTAATAAGACACATTAATCTTTATGCAATTTTGAAATTCTTCAGTTAACAGTTAACAGATTGATAGCGGAAATAAAAGTAATATTATACTCATTTTATAACAATCAAAGCTGTAGTTACATAGAACTGTAACGAATTCCTGGAAATGAGCAATGAATCTGAAGAACTCTTGGCATCTCTCATTACTCTACCAGCACTTTTTGTTTCGAGAAAGTCACGTCGGAAGCGTGGATATTGTGCTTTCAGACAATACCCATTACTACTAGCTTTTTGAGAG